GGTAAATCAAAGTCAAAGTAATAAAGTCCACCATTTTCATGCCCTATACCAATCTTCTTCGTCATCTTGAGATCCTGAACCACACAATAAGAGGGATAAAAGGTTACGGAACAATTAAGTAAATGGGTAATCTTGCTAATAGAAAGTAAATTAAAAAGAAACTAAGGGACAAATAACACGGAAGATAGGGACATATCAGAACTCAATTGAGTAGTCCTCAAACCTGAAACTTTAGAAAAAGTATCATTAACAAGAGTAACACTGTGTGTGGAAGTGACAGACTGATGAGTAGAAAAGACACCAGACGCACCAGTCATGTAATCAGAAGCACCAGAGTCTATGATCCAAAAACTGCGAATGGAGGACAATAAACAAGTAGAAACAATACTTGACTGAGCAAAAATAGCAGTGGAGGAAGATGGAATGGTCTGTTGCTGAGACAGGAACTGAGCATACTATTCTCGTTAATAGTAACTGACCCAGAGTCAGGTGGAGCCGACCAAGGTATAGAAACAACAATCGATGTATCATCCTGATAGGAAACTTGATTAGTAGCTCTAGAAGGTTTGCCTTGTAAATCCCAAAAGAAATCAACAATATGGCCTCCATAACCACAGTGAATACAAGAACAAGATCTAGTATGGCCTCTAGTACGACCTCCATGACCACCACGATTACCACGTCTACCCTAATGGCCATCATTGTGGCCAATAGGAACAACAAGAGCTGCGCAGTTAGTGGAAACACCATGATCAATGCCCGAAGAGCCAATAGACAAGGTAGCACACTGTAAATGAAATAAAACCTCAAGTAGAGAGGGAAGAGTGGAGCCACCCAAAATCTGAGAGCGAATAGACTCATATTTAGGTTTCAAGCTTACCAGAAACTGAACAACATTCAAATCCTCATGTTTTTGTCAAACTGCTGCATCAGTAGTAAACGGATGATAAAGCTTCAATTCCTCACGAACTCCTCGAACATGAAAGTAATAATCCTCAAGACTCAGAGTACCCTTGTCCAGGCAGAAATACTGTTTGCACACCTCATAAGCACGGGTAAAATTACTTGTTCCAGAATACATAATAGAATGGTCAAGTGATCCCATATGTCTTTGGCAATGTCAAGATAAAGCAGAGTAGAGCTAATACTGGGCTCAATGATATTCAATAGTAAAAAGATTAATCTGAGCATCCTCTTATTCCTAGTGATCATAACCAGTAGTATCTTCTTTGGGTTTAGGAGTCACCAAATATTTTTTAAAACCTTTGCCTCTAAGAAATACTTGAACTGATTGTGATCATAAAATATAGTTAGTCCTATTGAGCTTAACGGAAGTCATGGGACCATTAAAGAGAACCGTGGGGGAAGAGGTTGGTGGCAACGATGGGGTAAGGGAGGAAGAGGTAGTGCCTTGCTTGGGTTCTATAATAGTATAACAATAGTAAAAGTGAGAAGGAACCTTAATAGAGGCTGAACCGAGGAAGAAGAGCTGGTTGGACTACTGGAGCGCTGAACTGGGCAAGAGAAGCTTGCTAGATTGCTGAACCGAGCAAGAAAAGCTTGTTTGACGACTGAACCAGATAGGAAAGGATTGTTGGACTGCTAAACCGATGCAAAACTAACGAAATCAGGCCTAAACTTGACAGAATCGGGATTGAACCGGACTTAAAATGGATGGAACCGGGCTTGAACTATCCTGGAACTGACAGAACAAGGCCTGAATCGGCATGGGTTTAAACCAACTAGAGAACAGTTGCTTGGGTTTGCACTAGCAAGGCCTTTTTTTTTATTTGGGCTTTAGCAGAACTTGGCTTGGTTGTGGGTTGTGAACCGGATTGGGGGAATTATTTGAGCCCGTAGACTAGGACCAGCTACCCAAACCCGTAACCGACCCGACGTGGAGTCGTCTTCTCCACTAAGTAGGGTTTCCACCAAACCCTAACACCTTTAATACCAACGGTGCCCCACACCCAACACAAGCAGCACCACCACAACGACAAAGACAACCTCCAACAACACCTCCACAATAGATTTTCGACGATTTGACACCACCACCACCATAGCATGACACCACCACCACAGCGTAACACCACCACTATGCAAAGACTCCGGCAGCAACACCACAATCACGATTGAGGTCTGCACCGACTGGCTTGTACTGATTGGTTCATCGAGGAAGATTGATTTAGCGAGTAAGATATTGTCTGGGTTGATATTTTTTTTTTTTTTTGTGTTTACGATCTTAATGCTCTGATACTATGTTAAGTTGAGAGAATTAACATAATATTAGAGAAAAAGGGCGAATGGTTAAAAACTGAGCCTACCTCTAACAAACCACTTGTAATTATAGTTAACTCATAATCATACAAAAGACGGATATACCCTCTAGTGATATACTTATTACAACTAACTAGTATTTATATAATACTCTAATACTCTTAATAGTAATGTTAAATCCGATCGGAGCTCTGATACCCAGTTAGTTTGCAAGACTGTTAGGATTTAAAGGAGAAGAGAGAATCAAGAGAAAGAAGAGATTATGGGAAGAGTGTAGTATATTAGGGTTACACAGCTACATCCCATATATATGTGTGTGTATATAACCACAAAGTACCAAAATTACCCTTAAGGGTTACACATTCTAATATAACATAACAAGTTAAAAAAAGTAACAGAACAAGTACAGAGAGAGAGAGAGAGAGAGAGAGAGAGGAATAAAAAGGAAAGGAAGATAAACATGAAAAAATTTAAAATAAAAAAGTGTGTAAACACTATGATCATGAGTTGAAAAAAGGGAGAAAGAAATAATATGAAACGGAATAGAGTAGCTATTGCCTTTTTTAGGCGGGAGAACATAGAGCCAAAATCTGGGAAGAGATGATGAGACAACAATTATGCTCTTGCATGATAGTTGAAGAAGATGGAAAAAGAAAAGGAGGGCAGGGGTGTTGAAAAAGGAAAAGAAGACAACACTACTAACATAACTATCACTTTTTCGTTTTCAATTTTCTTTGGTGTACGACCAGGGGCGGAGCCAAAAAATCATTTTTGGGTGGGCACCTAACATTTTAATAAGGTTTTTTTATTTTTTTTCTCAAAATTTACAAAAGTAAGATAATAAATTTAATTTTTTGATTATGCTACTTTTAATACTTCAAAATTTCCTTAAAGACAAAATGCCAAAATTAGGTAAGCATAGTGTATAAAATTAAAACAAAATAAAAAATTAATTATAAGCTTTTTGTTGAAAAAAAAAAAAAATCATGCCATTTGAATGCATTTAGCCTCAACAAATTTTCTCAATGTAGGCATTCAAAATCAAGCACTCAACAATATTCACAATTGATTAAGAATCAAACAATAAAATATTGAAGATGGAAGGAAAACATTATCCAATTATATCATTGCTATTGAATGAAGATATTTGTGATTTCAAGAATCAAGTGGAGGTGAAGAAGTCTTTAAACACATTATTGTAATACCAACTTAAATAAAATAATTTTACGAAAAAAGAATTCTACATGAGCTTGAATCAACAATAACAACATAAATAAATAAATAGTAGATTGACTCAAGAAATGTGAATAAGTTAACAATGAATGGCCCAAAAAGTATAAATAAATAGAAAATGGGTCATGGCTTCACGGGTGAGAACTATGGCATCATGGGAGGGCACCATTAGCTAGCACCACTAAAATAAGTTAAAGATGATAACACATGGGCAATGACAAGAGAACTTTCAGGGTGGGCCAGTGCCCCCTCTGGGCCTGTACTGGCTCCGCCCGTGTGCACGACTAACAATATCTTTCTCCCAAACAAGGAGGCATGTTAGAGACCCGATTCCCCACTTTTTCTGCTGCTCAAGAATAAGAAATGCAGCTCCTTTCCACGACTGATCAAAGCTTCACAAGCTGTAATGTGATCTAAACTTCCCACTAAAAGATTTACATGGATATCCTCCTCTTATCAGCAAACATGTAGGGGGATTGCTAGGTAAATAAAAGAGATAGAGTGGGTCTTCTAGGTTACATGTATTTGAGCGAGGACTGTCATATCTTTAGGTATGTGACCCTACTATCCCAACCACTACTTTATCTTTTGTGAAAAGGCACATGAACTAGTGTTAGATCTTTCTCCTGTCTACCCGTTTGTTTTCCAACTTCAGACAAGCAACTTCATGGCATATTAAGAAAGGGCTTACCTCCGCATTTTACCAAATGTTAGCAGCTATTTCATCAAATGGTAGGTTCCCTGGTGCTATAGAGCTCTGACAATTTACATAATAACATTATTCTATAGTGTCTTTTAGATTTTTAGCGCAGATCCATCAATGATAGGGGCACATTTGGAAGGAACAAATAAGGTACTATCAAAGAGAATACAAGTTGCATAAAAAAAAAACTGACATGGAAGATCGCAACAATAAAACAACGTGGACCTATTCCAAACGGATGCCAAATGACCATACCAGCTTTCAGTGTCCTGTGCAAGTTTAGTGGAAAACATATTCATGTTTGAGTTTCCCCCAGCCATATAAGCAATTGTCAAGGCGGATATAATTTCAAGAATCAAGAACATTCTCAGACTTTGAACTTTTCCATTTAATACATGTTAAGAAATATGAACATGCCCTCATTTTCCTTAGTTGCGCCATTCCAAGTGAATTTTTCACTTGCAAAGCCATATTACAAACGAGTATGTTCAAAATTAAGGGGACATCCAAACATATCCTTAGTAGTTGGTTTCATTAAATCAGTCCATGTCTACAAATTGTAGGTACCAAAATTATGTAAAGTGAAACCTCCACGAGGCTATAACACTAATGGAAATTTATATAACTTTCGAATATGTATTAGCAAATAGTTCAGAAGAATTGTGTAAGACAAAAGGTTTTCATTGGTTAAATCTAGAAATGGAAAAACTACTATTTCTCAAGGTGGACAAGCAAGTCATCATGATGCAAACATCGACGAAAAAATTCAAAATAAAAAAAATCTTACTTGAGAAACCATGAGACAAAGGAAGAAATTTCGCATTTGGCGTTTCCTCAATTTCTTCACAGAGATGCTTGCAAACTCTCCTTCCTATGTAATGGTATAATTGAGTCAGAAAGATGTATTGCGTCAACGTGTCCAATGGAAACGCAAAATCCAAGTACTTGACAAAATAAAAATAGACAACAAAATATCCCCACTGATACACCTGTACACACTTAAAACAACTTTCTGAATGTTTAGAAACTTTAAATTGATGTGTTAATCCTCTCTCATAAATGTTTAGGGGCTTATATACTCTCAAATGGAAGCAAAATCACATTCCTTGCAGAAAGATTCTCCAAATGCAAACAAAGTTTACTTTAGATGCTGCTTGTAAAGAGGGTTTGTATCCCATTTGAATGATTAATGCTACCTAAGGTTGGTTTATATCGTTAAGGGGTCTTTCCACACATTTCCAATTGGGTTGAATGCCTTCAACACTGTACCACAGTGCGGCCATAGGTGGATAGTGGGCCAAATCCTTCATCATTTCAATTCATAGTAAGCATGTTTGCCTATTTATTTGGTACCCCCAGTGGGCCTGGGAATCACTTGAGGGAGGTATAAATAGAGCTAGTGCCCCAGACCAAAATATTATTGCAGCCCAAAGATTGATTTATTGGTTAAGAGATGTCATTTACTGCCAATTGGGTTTGAGTTGGAAACTCTAACACTGCTTAGCTCCCTCAGTGGCCGTCATTAATTCAATATGAAGTCGTGAAGGTTTAGTCAGCATGTGAAGAATTTGCAGTAGATTTGAAAATTAATTTTAATCCTCACCACAGAACCCAAGCATCAGAATAATTAAGTCTGATACAAAAATGTAAAGGCCCACTTGTTAAAATTTACCTGTCCACAGTTCCAGCTATTATTGTGGTTCTCTCCATCTTTGTTGTCTTCCCCATTTGCCAAGTTATGTTTGTTATTATAAGTCACTAAATCAACCAAAGTAAAGCCATCATGAGCACACACAAAGTTGATACTATTCCATGGTTTCCTTCCACCTTCCTGGTTTCACATAAATAAGTAAGGGCAATCCAAATATTAACAAACCTGGGTAATGCAATTCACAATGTTTAAATGTAAAGATTCATCCGTACAAGATAAATTACAATTTGGCCCCTTTACTATCAATCTTATGACATTGTCCCCTTAACTAGATTTAGTAATTTTAATAAATCCCAAAACCTGCCTACTGACCATTAGATTTCGGACACACTTCTCCTAGGTTGTTCGATATTAAAGCAATGTGAAAACAGTAAGTAGAGGCCGGAGACAATAGGGCATACACTTTTTTCATTTCCTCTCGACAAAAAAAAACGGATGTTCAAATTTGGTGCAACGTGAAACCAATTCAAACAGTCGAAACCAATTTGGTTGGGCTTAGATTCTAGTCCACAACCTCACAGTTGTAAGCCAACAATTATACAATTGCACCAGGCAATGGTCCCAATGAACAGTTAAGCATAAAATATAATGAAAACTTGTGCTTAGAAGGTTGTAACTTTAAGTAAACAACAGAATGTTAAAATAACAAAGGGACCAATATTGTTCGACCTAAGATTTGATTATCACAAACATTAGGACTAGCAAACAAAATTTCTTGTAAAAAGATACCTGGTACAGATTAGGGCTCCCACAAAGGCATTCAGCAAACGCCCCTGAAAATCCATCGGTGCCCTTGATAAACTGTCGTACTATGTCACGGTACTGAAATAAAAGTTATGGTTGATTTGGTGGTTCAGTCATTGAAAAGAAGAACAAAGGAGTGAAAAAAAAAAGAGTGAAAAGAAAAGGAGCGAAAAGTCGAAGATTAGGATCATTATTTCTTCTCTCTCTCTCTCTCTCTCTCACACACACACACATTTTGTATTATCAATACTATAATTGTGATTTGGAGAAATCTGCCAAAGTACAGCTATTACATGTGATCGCTCATCATGAAATAGACACTCCTCAACATGTATACACAAACTAAACCTTCCATGGAAGAGGAACAGGGTAATCAATCTTAAAAGTATGAAATTTGCAGGAGGCCCATGCTTATTATATAACACTAAAACATCATTAAGGAGCCTAGCTTTTTATTCGTTGCTCTATATAATGACTTATTAATTCTTTATACTTTGACAGTATCATTAGAGAGAGAGAGAGAGAGAGAGAGAAAAGAAATAATGTTCGACAAGTGAAAAGGCTTCGTGACAGTCAACAATGCAGTTCACCACTAGGTTATCAATTAAACTGTGTAATCGGAAGTGAATCGATGATAGAAAAAAGGAAATGACACAAGCAGGTCAATTCAGGGAAATTTTCTGATTCATAGCGCATGTTGAAATCAAAGAAAGTCAAAAAACTTGAGAATGAGCATGGTTAATGGAATATAAGTGTAAAGCTTCAAGCATGTTCAGGAGCCCATAGATCCATAATTCAAACAATATGATGCACAAAGTCCGTCCCACCCAAATCCTCTATCCCCAAATAGTAATACGTACAGATAATTAATTATTGATGGACCTAAGTTTCTACGACAACCTTCCCACATCCATTTTCGGGATTATGATCTGTATCGTATATTGCTGTCCTTGGAAAAGAAATGGGAGATACAGCTAACTGAGACCACCTATATTTTTTGGATTTCTTCTCTGCAGCATTGCATCAACATGTTCTCTCTCTTCTAATCATGACACACCGGATAAATGATTAGAGATCAAAGTATAGCATCCACACTGACCTTCCCATTCCATTCTGACCAGAGACCCCAGTGAGGAAACAAGCCAACTTGGTACAGGCCACCACAATCCCAGGCTTCGGCTATAAGCTGTTTGCATGAAGCAAAAAGAAAATTTTGTAAGTCATTTCTTCAATTGGGATGCACATACAGAAATACAGAAAAGTGCCAATAAATAGAAGAAAAATTGAAAATATAATAACCTTAGGATGGACTTGAGAAAAAGAACAGCACTTAAAGCAAGTAGAAAACTTTTGGGCAAATCACACAGCCCCTTGAATGACACGCGGCCCCCTGAAATCTCAAAGTAACATGGGGACCCCTTGGCATTCACAACGAGGAACAAACAGACCCACTCTGCCTAAAAGACGTTAAAATCCTAGTGGGAAATGATGACATAAGACTTAAAATATTGTATTTCCACAAATACCCTCATTAAGTAAGCTTATGATTTAAAGGAAAAATATTACCCAAAATTTCATTTAGAAGGACAATTATATCCCTTAAAATAAACAATCTTCTTATTAGTGAATTTTAATAACTAGTCACTATATTTATTGTAACTTTAGAAGTGAAATGGAAATTATAAATTCAAATAAATCTATTAAATAACCAATCAAACTAATTAACTCAATCTAATCTAGTTATTAATTAATCCTAATAACTATAACAATATTAGTCACAATTTTAGGAATTAACCAGAAATTACAAATTTAATTGACTCCATTAATTAAGTAAATTTTTATAATTATCGAAAACCAACCCCCCATATCACCAGCACCACTAGTTTCACCATAACTCCATTTGCTCCAATCCCCCACCAGTTTCATCACTCCCCCACTAGTTTAGCCATCCCAAACCCAACCCCAACTCACTCTCCCATAATCATCACATCCTCAAAACCAGCACCCCACCCCCAAATGCTGACCACTTCTGAATATAATTACAACATGAAACCTTTTTCGGTGGTTACCAAAAACCACACACAGAGGCACCAATTGGTCACCCTCAGCTCACCCTCCCCCAAAAACACCCCCTCTCTTCCCCAACAATCTCTCAACACCATTCCTCGAACCGCAAATCCATCTTATGGCTATAAATTTTTTTTGTGACACCCACAAACGAGCACGAATCAAACACCCACAAACTTAAAGGTTGTGGTTTTACAATGAACCAAATACATGCAAAAACCCATGCATCAAACAACCATGATGTGTCGCAAATGGTAGAAGGGGGAGTGAGGGAGAAGGCGGTTGGGTAGTGGTACTTCATATATTATGCCACCTTTACAATTCTGCATCGTAAACGGTGTGTTCTTGTGCATTATGTAAGACGGGAAAATGAACAGAGAAGAGGTGGGAGACTAGGGAGGGGAGGCCTGAACTTTAGGGCCGAATGAAAATTTTGGAGGTAAGTGGGTGTAGTGTAGATGCAGTATGGATATTGGGTGGGATTCGAGTATAGGTTCGGCTCTGATTTTGGTTTTGGATTGGGTCACCATCTATTGAATAAGTCTATGAAAGAGAATGACGTCTAGCACCCTAAAATACCATCAAGAAAGAGCGTTAGAACTAGGTGGAAATAAGATATAACAAATGGCTAAGACAACCAAGGCTAATTAAATCGCTTTATGAGATAATCGATATACTTTCTACACAGGCAAGCCAGCGGTGTCCAATCAATCTAGTCGACAAAACAAAGGAAAGAGGAATGAGAGAAATTTTAGAGGAAGATCTAAGTACCGAGAGGACAATGAAGCTCGAATCCATAGCATTCTCCAAACTCCCACCATTCATTAGCGGCGACCTTTACCCCACGTTTTTCACTCGAACTTGTAGTATGCAATATCCTTCGTCTAGATCTTTTTTATTTATTTGAATCCAACCATAAATAAGGGTAAAAATGACTTCCATTCTGATCGTGTCATTTTAGAAATGTAAGGGTGTCTATATGTAAATTACCCCAAAAAATTTGGAAGGCAATTGCAAGGACAAAATGTTGGGGCAACCCTATGCCCATTGAATTAATTTGGTCTTACAATAGCTAAACTTCATGCAATCACCTAGCCATCAATAACTAAAAGCTGAGCTTTTTCGATCCCTTTTTTGCTAAGAGAAAAATGTGCCTTAACTAGAAACTAAGGGGTTCAAATGAGCACAAAGAAGAGAACTAAGGAAGACACCTTTACTCCACTAAGTATCGGATCATTGCTGATCATATTGATTAATGGCGGGCTGCTGAGAGTAGTGCCAGTTGTGAGCATGTCACCTTCCACTGGATTGCCATACACATTAACTGCATCCCATAGACTAGATAAACCCAAAAAATAACGGAAAAAGGATCATAAATACAGTCTTCTCTATAAATTAAACAAGCAACCAATATCACATGGATGATAGAACAGATAACCTGCTACCCCTTGTAAGTATAGAGGCAAGATCAAAGCGAAAGCCATCCACATGCATCTCTGTTACCCAATATCTGTTGTAAGGATAAAATTAAACAAAAGCAATAAAGATAACCTAATGAATTTGGATACAAAATAGTAAAGAAACCAAAAAAGAAATAATGAGCAAGCTTCCTCTCTTAGAAATGGAAAACCGAAAGTAAAATGAGTAAGAAATTCAAAAAGCATCACAATGCGCAGGGGAAAACTTAAAATGGATAGTCATAAATAAACAACAAGAACCATCAATCACCAATATAGCTAGTTTAGAACTTTGCTCTTCACTCCAATTGAGAAATAATGTAAAATTTGGGGAAGCCGTGACACATACAAGATATACCTAACAGAGCAAAGCAATAACCAAAGGCAAAATAATATATACAAAATCAACACACAATGAGCCATTTCCTCTACCCTTCAAAAGCCGCCACAGAACAACCAGCTCATCAACAAGAGGCTTCAAACTGAACCTTTTTATGTCATACAAAATTCAGTCATGCCCTATACAAGTCTGCAAACGTATCATGCCATCTAGATGAAGCTATCAACAGGATTGTATTTCTTGGCTAGAACTTATAATTATGTCTCTGAGTTCTCCGCTTATGGAAGATTATAGGAAGCCTACCTAAAAATTAGAGCAACTGAAAAAGGAATGGAATGAAGGCGATGATTATTGAGACTAAATGTTTTGATGTCCACCACTGTGCCAGGGTAAAAAAGGGATCATGTACATATTTCCTAGGGGGAAAAATAACTTTGCAAGAGTTGGATAAAAAGTTCCAATGAAATTGTACCAAAAAGAAATAGAAAGGGGGGGGGGGGGGGGGGAGAGATGACAAAAAAAACAAGAAAAATGATGCAACAATTATGTATGTTCTTGGATAAAGCCAGGCGGGGAAGAGAAACACAGTTGGACAACCAATGTTTGACTAATATAAGCAGAATTATAAAAAAGGTTACATTTTTTTTTTTTTTGGGGGGGGGGGGGGAGGGGAACTTGATCTCAAAAAGGCAAAGCCTTCACAAGTTAAGGAGTACCATTGGACCAAAGGCCCGTTGGTAGGTTACATGCAAGGTATAATGTATATTTTTGTACGAGCCAGTTTTGGCTTTAATAGCTCAAATGATGACAGCTTTTGGTGAATTGCAAGAACTTCAACAATTGGACCACATGATCCCATTAGCTATACAAGTATTGTATAACTCATCCTTTATTTTTGCAATATATATTTGATTTCAACCTCAATATGTTGGATAATTACTTAAATTTTTTCTTACATGGATCTTAATCACAATTATTATAAGACTTATTTCATTGACAATTCATGGCCTGTTAAATCTCTTGAATGGGAGGACAATGAGAATTTATTATTGCCCATCTCATTTCAAGTAATCAGGCTTCAATCATGATGCCATGCTCCTGTCATCCAAATAAGCCCTATTCCACATTACCTAAACAGTTGTGGGGAGAGAGAGAGAGAGAGATCGGTACCAATCTATGGTCAATTTACCTCAAGCAATCCAATATAAATTGGCGTACTATGGGATGGTTGCAGTTGAAGGTGTTTCCACAACCTGAATAATTGTAGAATTCTCCCTGCACAAAACAAAGTAAGAGCTGCTTTATGACAATTGCAATTTCAAGGAATATGAGTAAACACAAGCTTCTCAAAATTTCATAAGCAAAAAAAAATAATATCTTAGCACCTAAGTTGTTGAAACCAGGACACAACTAGCACCTAAGTTGTTGAAACCAGGACACTACTGGAGGGCCCAGCAATTTCGACCAGGGATGTAGCTCCCTGAATAGTCTAGCAAATGTTCAATCAAAAACCAGATATATTGATTAACAGGCCAAAATTGATACTGTTGCCGTGGTCAGCAATTGAATTTTTCAACCAGGATAGAGCATAACACTACCATATGAAGATACTATTTAGTCTAAAATTGACCACAATGGAAAATATTCACGTGAACACAATCAATTTTATGTTCCTGTAGAAACAGTTAACAACTTATCAGATTTCAACAGAAAATAACAACTTGTAGTCCAAGCTCAGTAATTTTTTGTGAGCATGTGCAGGTAGGAGGAGTGCTTACTTTTGGTAAGAGAAAGAAAGAGAGAACAGAGAGAAGACAAAATGCGCAGAAACAAACCCAAATGGACCCAAATACAAAATAAACCAGATAGGTCACATGAAATAAATTTTTATGCTTTTTTAAAATACGCATATCATGTTCTAATTTCCTGCCAGAACAGAACAAATCTGAGAATAGTGGACGAAACCACCACAGTTTAAGTCACCAGCCCAGTTTAATTAAAGCTGCAGAGCTCACTTGCTAATCAATTACTTGAAAGTTGGAATTATGTGTCCAAGTTTTAGTACAAATTCTCTTCTGATCTCTCTCTCTCTCTCTCTCTCTCTCTCTCTATATATATATATATATATATATTGGGGATCATCTACTTGAAAAATAACTAGCTTGCTGGATAGAAACACATAATTTCTTTTTTTAGACATCAATACTCTATCAAGGAAATGACATCGTACATAAAATTTTTTAGGGCATTGAGAAATAGTATTATATTGGCCAATATAAACAACCAGCAGATATGTGCAAACTTTCTGATAGTAGAATCACATAGTTTCTTCCACAAATGTTATATACCAAACAACAATAATACCATAGCTATACAGGTTGCTTCCAAAAATGTCATGTACCAAACAACAATAATACCATAGCTATACCTTAGGTGCAAGCATATAAAACACACTGTTATCCACACCTCGAAATGACAAAATAGGACCATTCTCGTTCCCTTCAGCAGTGTGATTGAAAACAACATCCATGAGCACCTGTTGAGAAAAAATTAGACAGAAAATTCACTATAACCTTAAGAAAAATCCTATAGCATGTTGAAACAAACAAGTCATCACCTCAATTCCCCGATTATGTGCTTCTTTAACAAGATATTTGAATTCATTTATTGCAACAAGGCCACAATTTCGCGTTCCGCCAGATGAATATCTTGCCATTGGTGAAAAGTAACTGACAGTTGAATACCCCCAAAAGTTGATCCTGAATAACAGATGATATTCCACAAGATCAACAAAAAAAATAAAAGGAAATCTGTAATTTCAAAGTTTGCTTATTCAGTTTCTCATATTGCCTTCCCCTGTTTGATTTCTTTTTTTCTTTTTGACATGCAACACACAATTTTGCATATTAGAGAATACAGATGTCTAGACCAACTTTCAATCAAGAAATAAAGTCTACAATGACGCAAAGATTTCACACAAAAAATAATGAACATCACTGAATAATTGCACAAATGAATCCAATAAAAACATAGTAGCATTCTCTAAATCCTAAATCATTGATAATGTACTTGAGACCATGGTATCGGCCGATACCGATATGAGTCAGTCGAGTCATATTCAACTCGGCACCTTTCGAGACGATGCCATTACACATATATATATATATATATATATATATACACACACACCCCGAATCTTGCATGACTCGTTTGAGTCATCCGAGTTGTATCCGAGTCACTGAGCTACAGTCACCAAATCGACCGATTCAGTTTTGTGACACCGTGATATGCAATTTTTAAACCTTAGGAAGGTGATGTGCAAAATAGGTAAACCACATAGAGGAAAAATGAAGTTTTCCTAAAAAATATTATCAATATTACAGCACATTGTCATCTAGGAGAGAAGGAAGTTCAGGACTTCCCAAGATTTGCATGAATATTCTTGTACTTAAGCTTCATAATAAATAGAAAATGAACAACATCAAAGTCCTGACGTTGCTGCAACATACAAGGAATATGGAGGTGGTTCATTGATGCATCTCCAATTCCCCACAGACACGTGACTTTAAAAAAATATGCCAAGAAACCTCAAGTCCATATTCAATGTTGACGCATTTCAGACATCGTATATGTTAAAGAGTATCAAACCCAAAACTAATTGGCTATGGGTGAAGTAGCCCCTCAAGTATATTTACCAATCACGATGGCCCTAATTATTCAATGTGGGATACAATCTCTTTAACGCCCTCCCTCACGTGGGACCAAGGCTCCCATGTGGGGGGTCAACAATCAAAGAAACAATCATAAATACCAGAAAATTCAAATGGATAAGAAGCTTGATCCACTCTGACCATCCAAGGCTTAACTCTGATACTATATTAGACTATCTAATCCAAAACCAATTAGCAATGGGTGGAGTGACCCCTCACGTGGAACCCGGGCTCGCATATAGAGTTGGCAAATAAACAAACAACTATGTATACTAGAAAATTTAAATAGATAAGAGAGTTGGCCAACTGACCACCCAAGGTTTAACTCCGATACAATGTTAGAGCATGCAACCCAAAACCAATTGGCTATGGGTGAAGTGACCCCTCAAGTATATAAACCAACCCTAGTGGTCCTAATTATTCAATGCGCAATACAAGCTCTCTTAACAATCTCACGTGAATGGGACCCAATTTGCCTCAAGTATATAAACTAACCTTAGTAGTCCTAATTATTCGATGAGGGATACAAACTCTGTTAACAGTTCACGCATGTGATGTTGCCAACTCCTGAATACATTTGTTTCAAATGATCCCATATCTCTTTGGTAGTGTTCAGAAAGAGTAAGGTGAAACTAATACGAGGTTCAATATTGTTCAACATTAATGACATGATGTGCACACCATCTTGTTTCCCTAAACCAAATCAAGAAACATTCCCTTTTAGGTTGTTTCCAGTGAAGTGCTTACGAAGTCCTTTGGTCTTGAGAACACCTCCACATGTTCAACCCACAACACATACCTACTGACATTAAGCTTGACATGAAATGGAAATGTCAAGGAAATAATATCTAGTTTGATGGCCATTCCAGTAAAACATTACGCTACAATTAAGGGAAAGGAAGCATGGGCAATGACTAGCTAGAGAGAAGATTGGAACTGTTTTTTGTGACTAAACAATGGTGGCAATCGGAAGAAAACACCCTTAAACATATTCAAGCGAAGCTAATCTAGAAGAAAAAGGATAAGAAACAAGTTGAACAAACCTGAAATCAACATCTGATCCTGAACTAGTGTGAACCAATATGAATTGGGATGAAGTGAACTAAACCGATCTAGAATTCACCTAAACCTAGAATGGATTCGGCTAAACCGGCCAGGAATCACTCTTAATCGGACTGAAATCAAGCTAAACCAATATGAACTTGCAGGTTATTTTAATTAAGGGTATTATTGTAATTTAAAGCTTATTATGAGTTAAAATGGGTATCAAAGCATTCCATTCACACTGAGAGTCAGCGAGAAAATCAGAAAGCAACCTTCAGTCACTAACGTCATCATCATGTCATCGTGGGATGATGATGTCATGGTGACATTAGCAACGAATTTGTTCAACCTCGACATTTATAGGCTCGAATCTTCATCTAGAGTATGTTGCTGATTTTTCTGAAAAACTTTGAATAGTTTTTCAGATTTTAGGGATTATATTTTGCAATTTACTAGTTGTCTAAGATTGGGACCATTCTACCTGCTCTAATGCAAGCTGTGGGTGCCGACTAGAGTTTATAGGAACTCTGGTGGAGTTTTGTGCACATCCCAGTGGTTTTTGGGTGATTTTTGGGCTGTTTTGGCTCTCGACTTGGCCAGTTCTCACTAACAGCAGACTGTTTTTGTGGTAGACAGGTTCTGCCTGCTTTCCTTCAACCATGGTTGAGTTTTGTGTGAAGCCCAGTAGTTGAATGAGGGTTTTTTGGCCAAAAGTGGATCTCATTAGCCCTCTGTGGGCTTCAACAGCCTGCTGTGAACCTCCAGTGGACCTCAACAGTCACCAGTGGGTCTCGGCAGTGAAGATTTTGTGTTTTACAGGTTCTGCCCTGTTGTTTTTTAGGGTTGTGATGTGTTTGTGGCTCCAATGAAGGGTCTGTGGTGTTGCAGGTTTATGGTTTGGTGTCTTTTGTGTTGGTTTGTCCCGAAATTGGTATTAAGTAGTCGGGCTTTGTGGAAAAGACTCTCCTTTGCTGAGTAGGCATGCTAGAAATTAGTACAGAATCCACCAGTGCCGAGAAAGGTGGGTTGTCGTGTAGGGACTCTTAGATGCAACCCTTCTCTCCAAATCAATCCAATAAAATTGGACGGGAGCAACTATTTAGCCTAGTCACGACCATGCTTGTAATCCGGGCAAGTAGATTAAATGGATACTTGGAAGGGGCAAGTTAGAAACCCAAATCGGAACTTGATCTTAGTCCGTGGATTTCTGATAATTCTTTGGTAATGACATGGTTACTTAACTCGATGATTCACCCTCAACCCACTATATATGTCTAACTCATTTGGATATAGATTTACAATCCCTGTTAACTCCAGACGATTCCTAATCATTCAAGGTAGAAATATTAGCTATATCCCCAACATTCATTAAACATGCATGCCCCATAGTACAAAAAATACTTTTAAAGTGCAAAAACAAAGGGTTTTTATGTCTTTCACCTACTTCTATTTTTTCTCAGTTTGTTTTTAGTTTGTCTTTTAGTGAAGGCACTTTCAGTTTCCAGCCATGAAAATCAAGCTTCAGCAGATACCTATGGTTTGAATATATTGTTTGGGGCTCAAGGGAAGGGGCAAATGCCTATATTGGTACCCCCGGCAATCCATAACACATGCCCTCTCTCCCCCTTCGCAGCACCAACAATATACTCTCCTTTGTAAAACCACCAGCTGTTAAAGCTATCCGAATCGGCAGTTGTGGTGTTTGACGGCACAACATTGCCCACAATGAGGGCAAAATTTCGCAGTCCTGAACTTCAAACAAGAGGTTGTTGAAAAAGAAACGATACAAGTATAAATGCCCCTCCCAGAAAATTCAAATACTTCAAGTTGGACAGGACAATTTTGTCCATTGAAACTAGAGAAGAAGGCTACTTTATTTTTGGGGTAATTAATACACCCTATTTCATATCCCGAGCAAAAAATTCTTATATCCACATGATGCTTAAACAAAATTTGTGAAAGAGGATGTCACAAACAAGATTACCTGAATCATGGATCACTAGGGTACATAATATGGGTACGGATTTGCGATACGATACTTTCTTAGGTACGCGGTACAATAGAAGTTAAGTTGGTATATTATTTTGGGTCGCAATTCATTTTAGAACTTTTATCTAGATTGTTTTCACTACTACACAATATATGTTACAGAACATTCATAATCACTAACTCAATTATCATTTATTTGATATTTGTGTTTGATTTTCTATTATCTAAAATTACATATAATTATAAATCTATATACATGTAGTCAATTAATATGTATTTTATATTTGTGCTACATATTCGAATGCGAATTGATTTAGGGTTAGTATTATAAGTTAGAATCGTACGTTTTAGTGATCTGAATCGCGAACCCACCCTATATGGGATCGATGTACCTAGATTGTAAATCATCATGACTTTAATGAATTCTGGTAACCATGGTCACAAATGCTAGGACAAGAAGAACATGGGAAAAAAACGGGAAGTCCTTGCATGCACAGGAAATCAATATATGGGATAATATGTGCAGTTTCTTCACCAATTGAAACGCATTACAACCGTGATGCACTAAAACTAACAACAATAGAAAACAAAAAGCTAATAGTTGAAAAAAATAAGAAATACTTCAAAATAAAATTAAAATGTCAAAAAAATTTCTTCTACCGAAAAAACAAAAGATGAAACTTCACTGTACTAATATAATGGAGAACTCGTGCATTAGTACATATCATGGAGTCTGATCATCGTACTCCTAAAAAATCAGAATTACTAGTCTGGATCTTCTTGTAATTTTAAAGTAGCACCAACAAGTCTAAGCATTGTTCATGTTTTTGATATTTCCAAAATCTATAAAACTTTCAATGAAAAGAAAAGAATCTGATAGAAGGCAGGAATATTTTACTTATAGTCACCCAAGATAGAATTGTAGCTGTAGTATTCCAACTCATTAAACTCGTGGCATGGCATTAACTCGATACAGTTCACACCAAGTTCCTGCAAGATTAGATATTTACTTTAGATGGGCATAAAGCATGTAATGATGCTCAATCAGAATGTTTTATAATCAAATGTATAAAATAACTTTGAGGAAGAAAACAATGACATATTTAATATAATAAGAGACATCAAATGAGTAAACTTTTCAGGTTGAGTATTTCGGCAATATGAAGTGAATGTCAATAAAAACTAAATCCTTTTTTCTTTTTTGAAGCAACAATTAAATGTAAAGCTTGGGCTGATTACATTGTAAGGTTTTAAAATATAAACTTCTATTACCATTACTCATATTATAAAAAATAAAACCTTCATCAGAAAGCCTCAAAGATATGTGTTTCAAAAATAAGGCTCAAATTCTTTGAAATATTTACCTTCAAATGATCAAGTTTCTCCACTACACCAAGGTATGTACCAGGAAATTTCACCTGGCTGGACTCATGGCATGTAAATCCACGGACATGCATTTCATATATGAAAAGATCTCTTTGTGGAAACTTAAGCGGCAGATCTCCTTGCCAGTCAAACTGAAACAATCACAAATAAAACAAACAGCATGAGTATTAACATACAGATAAAAAACAAATTCTCATTCAATAAGTAAATATTCAAAATTGTAACATAAATCGAAGGAAATTTCAAGCAGAGAGTTCCAATAATTCCATCTTCCAAGGAAATTCCTTACCAGTTACAGCCTTACAGGTTCGGGGACAAAAAGTTATCTACAAAGAATTTCCTTTTTTCTACAAATAAGTTAAACTACACTTACGACTTTGTAAACATTTCTTTCAAAATGGCAGTTCAGTGCATAAGGTTTTCATTACTGCAACATCCAAGCCTAGTCAAAGTCCTTCGACATATAGTCTTGGATATTAACAGACTTACCCCTTCGTATTCCCGAGTAGGCCCTTCTCAGTGCTTCTAAGGTGGAAAGATCATGTGCTCTTCTATCTAAAACCCTTAAAATTTGTACCCATACCTAGAAAAATTTCCAAGTAAACCATTTAGAAAGAAGAAATCAGGAGGAGAAATGCCGGGGGGGGGGGGGGGGGGGGGGGGAATTTAACATTATTTTTCCTTCGTTCACTACAAAGAAGTAGAGAGAAAGGAAGCGAAGTAAAACAACAGGGATCACCCATGCAACTAAATGAGAAAAAGGTGTAAAGGTCTTGCATATTGCGTTGCAATGTTAAAGGACTTAGATCCTTTAAGACAAGAGTGAACAGTATTTAAAAAGCACGCCTAAGCGGTCGCCTAGGCCAGAAGCGAGGCGAAGCGAAGAGATCTCGCCTAGAAGACCTCAGGCGAAGCGAATGTGAGTGAAGCAGAGAAAAAGCGAGAAAAGCGCTCACTTTTCGCTTAAGCGAACGCCTGAGTCATTAAAAGCGAAATTGTTTTATTTTTATTATGGACCGTTGGATTGAGCAATTGGAAAAAAACTTATAAAATGTTGATACACCGAATTATTCCCTTATCCCATAAATACAACCCCAAACCCTAATTTTATACTCAGATTGTTCGCTCACTGCTCCTCCTACACACGATCGCTAGACACAAAACAAAGAACACAGGCGATAGTCGATCAATGCTCCTCCTCCACGATCACTCACTGGGCACAAGACACAGCACACAAAGTTGATCACCGCTCCTACACAGAACACAGTCAATCGCTGGTCCTACATAAAACATAAAGTTGATCGACTGAGTCACTGCTCCTACACGATTGACACAGAACACAGAGTTGCTGATCGTTGCTCCTTCTAAACAGAGTCGTCGTTCTCACTGTTCTACTCTTTTTCTCTTTTTTTCTTCTCCCTGGTTCTGGTTTTTCTTTTTTTTCCTGATTTTGCTCCTCCTTTTTTTCTTTTTCTTTTTTTTTTTTTCTAATTCTGATTCTACTCTGTTTTTTTTTTTCTAATTGCGCTTCTGATTCTGTTAACCACGTGTGTATCTGATTGTTTTAATTGTGCTGCGGTTTTGCTATTGTCTGATTCTGCTCCTTTCTTTTTTTTTCTGATTGTGTTGTTGTCTGATTCTGCTCCTTTTTATTTTTTTCTCATTGTGCCGCTGTTGTTCTGTTTTGTTGTCCTAAAATGCGATTTAGTACATGTGTATAAGCCTACGAATGTACATAAAAATAGATTTAACAAAATTAATGGATATACTTTAACAAAAACACATATGGTTGATATTATTAGTGTTTGTTTTAATTTAAATATTTATGATTTTACTTGCATTTAACTATTTAGTATATACAAAATTAGAACTTAAATGTTTAAAAATAATTAAACTAAAATTTTTTTTTTTTAACTGTTCGCTTTGCTTCTCGCCTAGGCATTAGAAGCCTTGGTCGCTTCGGTTCGTTTTTCGCCTTAAATAACACTGAGAGTGAAGTTAGAAACGTTTGATTAGAGGTTGTCCGGATAGAGTAACTCTTCATGAAGTTAAGTCAGAAAGAATTAATATAAAACTCACGACAAGTGTGTTGGAAGTACAACATAAAAATTGGGTGCTCTCACCCTCTTGCAGAAGATCTATGGGTATCATGATTATCTTGGATGAGAGAGGTGTGACAGATAGGGATATGGTTGTGGGAAGATTTTTACTACTAGCAAGTTTTTTGGACCATGTAGTCTCAATTTTAGTTGGTCCCTTGGTGAAGAGATTTAAATGTTACTCTCAGAAATACCCAACGGGAATAAAAACACAAAGAGCATTAGACTTTGGACCATAGTTTAATAAACCAACCCTTGTGAAATGCTAGATTCTTGTGGTTTAGTTTTCTAGAAAATTTAGTGGATAACAAGTTGGATATGTTTTTATTTTCTAATTGGGGGGAGGCAAAGATCAAAATTTCGTTTCAATGCATTGTTTCAGTTACCAAAGAAATAGAAATGTTTCAAAAACATAATGGAAACAAAAAGAAATTTGGGAATTTATTTTCAAAATGCTCAAAAATATTGGTCAAAATATGCAAAAACATTTGTCAAAATATGCAGAAACATCTTGAAACATTCCAAAACATTATTGTCGATACATCTCAAAACATTCCAAAACACATCAAAATATTAGAATTTCGATTCAATCACTTATTCGTTTACATCTCCTTGAAAACCGAAATGTTTCGACCATTTCGAAACAATATTTTCACACCATTGGAGAGAGAATATTTTCCCAATGTGAAGCAAGATGCACTTTCTAAAGTACTATCTAATCATTCTCTAATTGTTTTAGAGAGTTCATACTTAGATGAGAATTTACACTTTTGATAGAGATCAAAAAGAAATTGAATGAGCTTAAATTTAAAAACTGAATTTTATTATTTGTTTTGGTATTATTTTATTGGACTTGGAATAGTTGTGAGTGAAAAAAGGATACAAACTAAGTGTAGAACCCCTATATATATAGCCAATAAAAATTACAATAAGGATAAAAAGGTAAAAAAGAAAAAAATTTAATAAACCCTAATAAACTAGGCTGCTATAACTCTAATACTCCCCCTTGAGCTAGGAACAAAAATGTCAACTAAGTCAAGCTTGACTACGGAGTCCCGAAGAATGGATAGAGTGACAGGTTTGGTGAAAACATCCGTAACCTAATCACTGGTCTTACAAACGATGGAATGACAATACTACTACTAACCTTCTCCCGAAAGAAGTGAACATCGATCTTTATATGCTTCGTCCTCTTGTGTAATAAAGAGTCAGAAACGAGCTGAATAGCAAATCAATTATCACAATATAATGTAGATGAAGAAGTCAATGAAAATCCCAACTCGCCAAGAATTGATCGTAACTAGATAATCTCACATGTGCCAAGTGTCAATGCCCGATACTCTGTCTCTGCTGACGAACAAGAGACAATTGACTGCTTCTTGCTCTTCCAAGAGATAAAATGAGTCCCTCAAAAAACACAGAAGCCCGTAGTAGATTGACCGTCACACGCTCCCCATAATCTGAATCTGAATAACAGGCTAGAGAACCAGTCTGAGATCTTAATGCATAGAACAACCCAAGTTCAGGACAAGACTTGAGGTACCGAAGAATATGATAAACTGCACCAAGCTGAGGCTGACATGGTTTGTGCATGAACTGACTAACTCGGCTGACAACGAATAAAATGTTTGGCCTAGTGTTAGCTAAGTTGATAAGTCTACCTACCAACCTCTAATAGACAGTCGGATCTCTCAGCTCCTCACCTTCAGCAATAAGTTTCAAGTTTGGAATCATAGGTGATGATTACGATTTGCACCCAGTATCCCAGTGTCTGAGAGAAGATCCAGAACATACTTTCTCTGAGAAAGAACAATACTCATGTTGCTACGGGCAACCTCAATCCCAAAAAAGTATTGCAGATATTCAAGGTCCTTCACATCAAAGGCCTTTCCAAGGTTTACCTTGACCTGTGCAATCTCAGAAACATTATCTCCAGTAATAATAATATCATCAACATATACCAAAAGAATGACACACTATCCAGAAGTATTCCGTCGAATAAAGCAAGTATAAGCAGAATGACATTTGGTGAACCCTAAACGTACAACTACATTACTAAAGCAAAAAAACCAAGCTCACGGTGACTGTTTCAATCCATAAAGAGACTTCGGCATTCGACATACCTTTCCAACATATTCCCCCTCACCACGAAAACCTAGTGGTGCATCCATATAAATAATCTCGTCCAAATCACCATGAAGAAATACATTTTTCACATCCAACTGATGAAGAGGCCAAGAATACTCCGCAACTAGAAAAATAATCAATCGAACAATAATCAATTTTGTCATGGGGGCAAAGGTAGCACTAAAATTACGACCTGGTACCTGAGTAAAGCCCTTCGCCACAAACCTAGCCTTGTGACGATCAATAGTACCATCTGCAAGAAACTTCAGGATATAAACCCAACAACAGCCAACATGTTTCACCCTTGAAGGTAAAGAGACGAGATCCCACGTATGATTAAGCTGAAGAGCGTCCATCTCCGTTTGCATGGCAAGAACCCACTGGGGCTCTCGCATAGCCTCTGAAATAGAGCGAAGAACCGACGTATCGAATATAAAGTCTTGGCAGTCCAACCATAACGAACTGGACGGCGATCACGCTACAGATAACGACGCCCTAAACAATCATCCTCCACTGACAATGTCTCATCAGGGAAAGTAACTGGCTCAGTACATACAACCTCATTAGTACTAACAATAGGTGCATCAATATGTTCAACGAATTAAGATGTATTACCTGCATCACCTGAAATAGAGGGAACATCAGCAAGAGGATGAGAGCGAAAGTGACGAACATAAACCTGCAAAAGAAGAGAGACTGGTGACTCTGTACTAACAGGGACAAGTGGCTCTGGAGAAGAAGAGACTAATGACTCTGTACTGATAGTGACCAACGGCTCTGGCTCCTGCGGTAACGAAAAATCAAAGGGAGTATCATCAACTAGAGGGGCAGACACAGGGCTGAAAGAAAAATAAGGAATATGCTCAAGAAAGATAACATCTAGACTGTGATATATACAACGCCTGATAGGATCATAACACCGATACCCCTTAGACTGATGACAATAATCCACAAAGACACAACGAATTGCTTTATCATCAAGCTTATGACGAGTAGGAGACTATCCTGAACAAAACATGTGCAGCCAAAAACACGAGGGGAGACTAAAAAAAGTGTCTGCTCGGGAAATAAGACCTATAAGGGAGCCTTATACTGAAGAACACGACTTGGTGTACGATTACACAGAAAGATAAAAGTCAAAACAGCAAAATATCAATAAGATTTTGGTACCTCATACCTCTAAACATACAACGTACTATCCCTATTAGACTCCTATTTTTCTTTTCTGCAACTCTATTTTGCTCAGAAGTATATGGACAAGTGAGCTGTTGAAGGATACCTTGAGAGGAAAGGTGAGACACTAAGGCATCAGACACATATTCTTTGGCATTATCCAAACGAAGAGCACAAACAGTGATATCAAATTGTGTCTTAATCATCTGGAGAAACTGAGTGATGATATGGAGAGTACATCAGACTTCCTATGCAAAAGGTAGACCCAAGTACAACGGGTATGGTCATCTATAAATGTCACATAGTATCGAGCACTTGACAAAGCAGTAACAGCAAAGGATCCCCAAAAATCAGAATGTATTAGGTCAAATGACTTGGGTGACTAGCGCATGCGAGGAATATAACTAGTCTGAACATGTTTCGATAGGGAATATGTAACACAGTCAAGTTTACCACCAACACAAGCATTACTTAAAGCAGGAAATAACATACATAAATATTTAAAATTTGTATGCCCAACACGGTCATGCCACAACTAAACAGTTTGTGATGAAAAATCATAACGACAAGTATTAAGTAAAATACTAGCATGCAAGCTAGGAATAGATAAAGACAAAACAGGTGCAGGTGATGGAGGTGGAGGAACTAGTGAAGCTAGAGGTGGATCGCCTGGATAATACAGTTCATCTCTCTCATGTCCCCTGATAATAATCCTCCTAGTACTCAGGTCCTACAAATAACACAAATCAGATAAAAATACAACCGCACAGTGAAAATTTCTGGCTAACTGATGTACGGATAATAGATTCATGGTCAGTTTTGGCGCATGAAAAATCAAATGTAATGTAAAATCATCTGGGAGGCGAACTGTACCCCTACTAACAATAAGGACAT